CAGCATACTGACCGATCGACAGAACAACAGGCTTCCAGCCAAAACAAAGTAAGGTTAGCTGTCCATCTTTCTCTGCCTCACACACACACACACACACACACACACACACACACACACACACACACACACACACACACACACACACACACACACACACACACACACACACACACACACACACACACACACACACACACACACACACACACACACACCTGAACTAGTCGTTTTGTTGTGTCATTATCCACAAAATCATGTCTTCACATTGCCCAGAGTTTCCCTTTAGCACAGGTAGCACCCAACGGTGAGATTGTCCGTGTCAGTAGTGTTGGTTCAGGCTATAGATGGCACCTGGATGGAGCATACAGGAGGCACAACATGACATTGTTTACAATGTAGCCAGTACGTCATTTGGCCAAAAAGTCTCTTGCCATGTCTTGTAAGTTGTCCGACGATTTTACCGTTCGCTTTTACCCGACAGAGGTTCTCGAATGACGTTCTCTTTAGCGTTACACGTGTTCTTTCTTTGCCTAGGGAAGTTTGTTTTCAACCGTTTTCGCACCAACCGACAATGACAATAAAATAATTTCCATCATTGACTGAATGGGACATTACACTGACTTTGTACCCGGGAGTTGGAAGGGTAACATCTGTTAATGTATTCCCATCATGATTTGGACATTTGTGTTCTCACAAGACGCTCCTGTGGGTCTAGAGATTTACCAGTCGAGACAGACGAAATCCAGGTCTGCACATTGTCCGAAGTTTGCCTTTAACACATGTAGCACACAACGTAGGATCCTTGTCCGTGTCAGAAGCATTGGCTCAGGTGAGAGCGTACCACATGACATGGATTACACCTTTGCCACATAGCCACCTTTTAAAAATGTGGTCATAAAGTCGCTTGTCTGCTGATTTTGCCATCGGAACAGAACAGAACAGAACATTTCGAATGTCACCTTTCTTTACCGTTACACGTCATGACGCCCCTCAGATGTTTGTTTTTCTACCGGCTCAAGCCAACCAACAATGAAAGGAGATTATATCAGCTTGGGCTGAATCGGTCATTACACTCTGTACTGAGGTGGTGGTGTAAAGTCTGTTTGATGTCCGTTCAGAATGATTTGGGCATTTGCATTCTCACAAACCGCTCCTCTGAGTCTAGAAAACTACCAGCCGAGGCAGTGAAGCTGGTATTGTTTTTTCCTTGTGAGTATGTGTGTGTGTCATCATGGTACAACTTGCAGTTGGAGACTATAGCCCGAGCTACCCTAGAGGAAGTTAAGAATTTTGCCAGGTGTTCATCTCTTTGTCTGCTTGCCTCATTTGACCTTATGGCTGAGGTTATCCCATTACAAGACATTCTCTAGATTTTCAGTAAGTATTTGAAATTGGATTGTGTGTGTGAGTGATGTGAGAGTTTTTTGTTGTGGCCCACAAGACAATAGTTATATTCATCCTGTGGTTTTTCATTCATTACTAACAGGATCAGTATGGATCTTTATGTTCTCTGCAGGTTTGTGTATGACTATGTTCTGCATGCTGTTATTGTGTGTGTGATTGGTACAAGGTCACACTTCAGCATTTCTGTGCTGACACACACACACCTGTGGTGCACTCTCTGATCATGTGACTAGCTGTCATGGTAACTGTCACTAAGCACAGTGATTGATCAAAGGGGGAGAACAAACATACACTCCCTGTCAATCTGTTTAATGCACACATACATTACGGAGGATGACAGGGTGGAACAACAGGCCATAAGAAAACTATTTAATTGTAATGTTACATGTTTGTACTCAGTAGGAAAACTGTTCATGGTACTGTATGTTTTAGTCATGCTAGGGACTAGAATCTAGGGATGGAAATGTTGATCGGGTTTTTTTTGGCATGAAATTTGACTGCTCACACCAACAGATGAATCCATATTTCCGGTCACATGAACATCCAACCAACCTACCACCTGACCACATACAAAATGTTCAAACTATACATATTGTTGAATGGGCCTCTGAAAATTACCCCAACTCAAAAAGGACATTAATATATACAAAATATTATCAGTATTACCAGTTTTCTCAACACCGTCATCTTTATCTACCACCTGCCTTTAGCAGCACCTGTAATTTTAAGAATGGTGATCGTCCTGCTTAGATGCACCTCGAGATCGTAGTTAATTACTTCCCCGAAGTTATCATGTACACAACCTTGAGCCCTCAAAGTAAAGCAGTATGTTTTCAGAGCGGGTGCCTCTTCAGGACTTTAGCATTGAGTGCAGGTCACCTGCTTATTGGCAGGGCGAAATGCCAACACACAATAATTGCAATTACCAAGGCTTGAAAATAAGTTCCAGGTTGGGTTTGCTACATAAAGCCAGAGCCAATGTTTAGATCTGTGTAGAAAGCTGTGTTGATTTAAAGCATGTATGAACTTAAAAATGCGAGATGGATACCTTTTTTTCAAATAAAAAATCCAGGTAGTTTGTTTTCGGGAAAGTCTATCTTTATCCAAGCCATAGTAGTGTGAGTCAAATAATAGAATTTCTTTGGATAAATCCGTATCAAAGCCTTATCACCTATTGTAAAAAAATAGACTTACCAGATACCAACACATTGAATAAAATGGCTGCTCCTACATGTTGTTATAACTGCTCATCTTTCTCAATCCAGGGTATAAACATCAGTTATGTTATTCAAAACTGACAACAAACAACAATTACTGGAACAAAATCACGTCAGATAGTCGTGTTGGGGAACAAACTGCACATTTTTCAGCCATCCATCAGGTGGCTATGCACAATGTATAGAGTTATGTAGGGCAAAGTCAACCTCTTTACATAGGATTATTCAGCATACAGCAAAAATATCTTGTTAATTTTATGAACAATTTCCAAGGAGGAAGTCATGTGTTCTCCAATCATGTAATCTGTTTCCTATCATACATTTAGCTTTAAGGATGGAGCAGTCAGAGAGAAAATGTGTGTTTTTCTATTAGAGTACTATTCAAAAGCCTATAAGACTTTATAAGAGGAAGACAATGAGTGTTTCCTAACAGTTTTAGAAGTATTTGTGTAAGAGCTGACTAATTTTAACCACATCATTACTGCAAACCACACTCCGCTGAGTTTTATTTACTCAAGAAACTAAGCTTGTGCGCACTTGAAATTAACTCCCAAAACATTCAGTCAACATCATTATAATTCATGTTGATTTTGTGGATCAAAGTTAAACAAACTAACCAGTTAAGCGGGAGTAATGATGAATTTGCATCTGTCAATCACCCCTAAATAATGTAGAAATTCACCACTGCCTTCCACAAAAAATGTGCATCACATATTTGAGCAACTTGTTCATAAGGACATATACTATATGCCATGGTATACAGGCTAAGGAATATTCCAGACATCTGTTTAGTGATTATAATATGACAGTTCTATTGACGACATACATGATAGCATGATACTGTAGACATGGATGTTTGTTTACATGTGCGTTAACAGCATGGTAACATTACTATGCTGAGAAACAAGAGGCAAAACTCCCCAAAGAAATGTCATAATAGAAAATATATAAAAGACGCTTAAATGGATACGATTCACGCATGATTTATTAATGACAGGTGCATTCGAATACACACACTAACAATGATCAATGCACACACTCACAAACACATACAGCATTACTAACACAAAGTCTAAGTCTTTATCTAGAAACTGGATTACTGTATTCAGATAGATGAAGGGCATTGATTAAATGGTGTAGGTACAGGTGTGTGTCACTGTGTGTGTATTCCTGTGGTGCAGCTGATAAGCCACGATGCTTGAGGGCACAGCTACCTGATCTGAACTGTACAGAGACAATGTCCAACACAGACTGCACTGTACACACACACACATACTGTACAGGCACACAAGAGACAAAATGAGGATAGAATAGTCAGAAACAATTTGAAAATTAGGGGAAAGAAAAGGTAATTTAGACAATTAAAGGGGCACAGTTTCTCTGTTTCTTTTATATTGTTACTTCTCTGTGTTAAAGTTATAACACCTTTACTCTTTCATTTGAGTCCATGCAGTATTTATTATCAAGCAGGATAGTGTAAGAAATCTGGTCTTATTGCCCCCAAACTCTCTAAGTGTGCTCAATTTTTTGACCTGTTACTACAAAACAGGTGAAGAGTGATACAACAAACACGCTGTGGAAATGTATAGCCACTTTTGTGCAATTGTCTTAAGAATAATCACTTCAAACACAAAGCCCTGTTACAAAATATCAAATAATCTCACCATGAGTATACTGTACACCAGACAAGCAGTCTAGTGCAGTGGTTCTCAACTGGTCAGGCCTCGGGACCCACTTTTTACTTGGTCAATACATCGCGACCCAACATTTTGAAGCACTCAAATCTATTCAACAAAAAATCGTGCTGTAATATATATATACGCTTTTGAGCATACAATATTAATAAAATAAATTGAAGTACAGTGCATATATCCCTTATATCCCTTCACAGAACTAAAGTATGCTTTTAAAAAAGGTTTAATGAGATGATGGAATCAAAGCTGAACTATATAAAAAGGCACACATGCTGAAACCCAACCCCAGCAGGGGGGTCTGGGGGGATTCTCCCCCAGAAGATTTTTAGAAATACTAACATAAACTACGCATTCTGGTACACTCTGAGAAGAAAATCGGGCCTTCAAAATAAAAGTTTGACTTTTCCCCCCCCCAAAAAAAAAAAAAAAAAATCCAATTTTTTTTTCCAACTTTTTTTTCTTCACTCACACATCCGCGACCCACTCGAAACGGGTCCGCGACCCACTTTTGGGTCGCGACCCACCAGTTGAGAACCACTGGTCTAGTGTAATCATATATATTGTTTAATCTTAAATAGTCCATTAATCGTTTAAGGAAGTTTTCACATAAGAACGTCAGGAAATTCTGTTTTCCCCATTTAACATATGGTTTTATCTCATATCTAAGTGATTACCTTTAAGTTTT